CCCCTCTACGTTTTCGCCACTATTTCGTCACCTTCCGGCCGAAGTATCACAAGCGCCATGCGACGTTTCAAAATTGCCGCCGCCATTTTATTTCCGTACGGAGGAATTGTTGGTTGAATCTGTTTGAAAATTTCACTGAACTTTAACGGCAGCACAAAGAAAATTCAGCGAGCTTTTCGGACAGCTTCGTTGAAAAATTTTTCCGTAAAAAAAATAAAATGGTAGCGGAAATATTTAAACGTCACATGGCGCTTTTGATACTTGACGATTTACGATTTCAATCGCAACGTCTCCGAACGAATACACCAGTAGTCGAGGTACGAATTTAAGCATTCTGATACATGTTCCTTGATCAAAATTTTACGTAGAACACGATTTGCGCCATCAAAATGGACTTCTTGCAAGTGTCAGACATTCGCAACTTTAGTAGTATTATATATATGCGTAAACTTTTGCGAGAAACGCGATGGTGTCACTGGCTTTCTCTGAAATCAACTTTCAAGCTCAAGGGAAGCTCGAGACAATTCACCCACAAATTAAACATTTACAACAATTTTAAAATAGTAAACAAAAAAGTATAAATGGGTAAATGTATAAAAAGCACCAATAATCTCCGTTTTAAAGCGTCACAAAGCCCTGCGTTTTGCGTAAATAGGGCCGGAATTCTGGCTGTGAAAATGTTTAATTTATTGTTTCCCTGCTACGACAACGTGGAGGAGGGTGAGAAATTTGCGGAGCAGCACTGCCGTGCTAAGGAAAAACGCCGTATGAACATTCGAGAGTTGCCAAATTTCCTTGGATAAAACCTGTATTTTTGACGCAATTTACGCATATTTTTCCCTGAAATTTTCAGATATTTCATATTAAATTGCGCACAAATAGTCTGAAAATTTTGGGGGAAAATATTTACAATTTTCCCGGTATATTCGGGTTTTATCGAAGGAAATTTGGCAACGCCTGAAGGTTCACACGGCGTTTTTCCTCAGCACACCAGAGCGGTGCAGCGGTGGTTGGGGTGAAAGAAGTTTCTGGAACGTCACTGTGAGACCTGGGCCGTGACGTATGTGAGGAGCCCCCTTTCCCTCGGGGGGCCGGGGGAGGGTGGGAGGGAGGGGGAGGGGGTGACGCGACGGTAGAAAGGTCTCAATGAGCGCACAATAACTCGGCTGAATCATGTGTGCGTGACAAGGCATCCGCGCAAGGAGCCCCGGAAATTTACGACTTTTTTCCTTTTTCCCCGCGGCTGAGTGCCCCTGGTTGCCTAACTGCGATCATCAAGGGGCAACCACTTGATTTCGAACTCGATCGGATTTGTTTTTAAGGGGGATATCATCTGTGTTTGGCGGAATGCATCATGGGTATACGATCGACATATATTTCAAATTTGTTTCATTTGTTGGATTATTTTGGAAAAATCGAATAGTTAGTCACGAGAATAATTACTAAGGAATTGGGGGCTACGCCGCTACTACGGTCAAGTTCATTTTTGTACCAATGCAGAGGGCGTGATATCGTAGTCATCGGGTCTCTGATTGGCTGAGCGAGACAGCATGAGATACGCATGGACTGCACTGCCGTGCTAAGGAAGAACGCCATATGAACATTTGAGAGTCGCTAAATTTTCCTTGATAAATCATGTATTTTTGACGACATTCATGCACATTTTTCTTTGAAATTTTCAGATATTTTAGATTAAAAGGCGTACGAGATTGTCTGAAAATTTTGGAAAAAAATATTTACAATACTCCCTGTAAATTCGGTTTTTATCGAAGGAAATTTGGCAATGCCTTCAGGCTCATACGGCGTTCTTCCTGAGCACGGCAGTACATTCTTCAATTAGGATTTACTATTTCTGGCTAGTGGCTAATTTGGTATAACAATAAATTTATGAGGGCCTCTCCGACAAAATAGCACATACGCGTTAATGCTGTTTCCTTGAAAATTTGCGATGAACATAACTCATACCCTGAATAAGGAATGTCGATAGCTGCAGAAGATCGGCAGATACGATTTTTTTGGTGCTCAAAGGTTGACCTATCCTATGAGTGAATTTCTGAGGGAAGAGCATATGTTTTTATGGATGAGCTACAAATTGTAGTTTCTTATCGGAAAATGGAGGCTACGTGATGCCACGGTCTCTCCTCAGCCCATTTTCTATTGCACTGGAAAGCTGATGGTGAGATTTAAAATTTTTGATCCGCTGTGGATCTTTTGGATGTCTCACCGGAGTGTTATGATCCGCAGGTAGTTATACGTTTTTACTTGGTCGCGTAATTTAGTTGCAAACAGATTTGAAGTTTGGATTACATTGTATACTCTCCAAGTTGAGATCTACGCAGTAATTCAAGTAAAAATGAATCAAGTCACACCTAAATACAATCGCCGCCAGCAACACCGCCGGGAAACTTTTCTGCGAGTTTGATGGGCTCATTTCCCGGAGTTGAAATTGCTTATTTCAAGCTGTAATTGTGCTCAAGAGAGAATAAAAGAGACTCCTCGCGAGATTTCAACGAAAGAATGAAAATGTCTTGAGAACTCGAGGAGATCTTAAAGCGTGATTTAAAAGCATCTTCCAAAAGCGGTGCCGGTGCGAATTTCCGCTGAAACTCGGCGTGAAAACCTCCGTCTAGATTTTGCATATCATGGTGCTATCGATCCATCTTTGCTTCTCTCAGAATCCGCTTTTCTCGGAATCCCTCAGGCGGAGCCGTAGAGAACCAGCATAAGTAGACGTAAGTCGTTGCGTGCAAACTTGCCAATTTTATGGTAATTGGCGGATCCATCAACTTAGCAACACCGAATTTCCTCCATTTAAACTTATGGAAATGGATCCATTCTTGGAGGGGCCAGGTGCTCCGACAAAAATCGATTATTTAGCATAGGTTTAAATGGAGGAAATCTGGTGTTGCCAAATTGCTGGACCCGCCTCTGTTTATGGCTTTCAGTGTCGTTTTGTCTACTGTACTCCGAACCGATTAAAGTATAGTGATGGACGTGATGCGATCAATTATCGATAGGTCAGTTGCGCTGGTCACAGATACTTGATTCTTGTAGATCAGCTAAAAATAATAAAATCCGTCCCAACAGCAACTTTCTACGATGAATATTACCGAGATATCGCGCTTCGAAAAATTCTGTTTATGGCGTCATCCACCGCGGTAGTGACACCCCTGGTTTTTTCCACCTTGCTTTCATCCGAGTTTCACGCTGAGAAACCAGTGCAACTGTGTGTTTCCCTGACTGATGAAAGTATGGTGGAGGAAACCAAGGGTGTCGGAACTCGAGATTGTATCAGATAGGCAACTAAACTAACTCTATGGTAATGCGTGAAGTATCACGGAAAAATGAAGGCACTATGAGTCGAGACGGTGCTTCGGGAGTTGTTTTACCTATGGCACTTTCATTAAGCCGATGTGAATTCGTCGCTCCACTGACGTAAGGGCGTTTCTCGATATCCGCATGAGCCCCAGAAAGCATGGATTTGTATGTAAAACAGGGCTCACGTGAAAATCGACGTACGCCCTTACGTCAGACGAGCTACGAATTATTGTGATTTACCGAGGCGATACGCAAGCCGCTTGCAAATTTCCTGTGACGTACAGCGTGTTTACTGATAGCGGCGACATTTTAATAGAACTTTTATTGGTTTTCTTAATTAGTTGTTTTAAATAGTTGATGTTGATTGTGATAAAAGTAATTGTGACACGCGCTCTTGGTCCCATGCTCTTGGACTTACTTGACCAACTGTAAAAACTCTCTGTACTGTGTTCCATCAAAAGATCTATGCTATCGATGAATGGGGCGGGTCCTTAGGTTTCGTGCTAAGCTTTTTGAATACGATCAATGGATTCCAAAATTTAAGCGTTTTTTAAGATAATTTTCAAGTACAAAAAAGTGAGGCTCTAGACCAATCTTTCAGAGCGGATTCTTAGCAAAAATTATTTTCCAAAATCGGTGAATGAAGTTGAAAGAACTGCTACCATTTAACCATGACTGGCAAGTAGATCTATGACTCGGGAATTCCTAGCAAAAATCATATTTTGAAAACTTGAAAATGAAACTTGACAAATATTGATTCCAATCAAGTATTGAAATCAAGACATCAGAATTGGTTGAGAATCAGAAACTGTGCTTTTGTACTTATTCTAAAAATCTTTAAAGGTCAACTGTTTGTACTAAACTTCTTGAATGATTGATCCGGAGCCTAATATACGAGTTTTTTCCCCCCTTCAAAATAATAGCCGAAGTGGTTACAATCTACAACTCATCGAGATCGTTGCACTTCGTGGGACTGAAAAGTATAAGGATCTCGCCTGTAATGGATGCATTTTACGATTGTTGCTTTGTGCAGTCTTGTAAGTAATGGGAGAACTTTATGAACTGGGGGATAGATGAACGTATTTCTGCCAAACGGAACTATGTGCATAAAGAAATGAGCTCTGAGATCCGTAGGAATATATGCATAACAGGGCTCACGTCATAATGCATATAGTTCCGCTTGGCAGAAATACGTCTAGATATATTGCCGTGCCAAAGAGAAACGTCGTCTGAACATTCGAGGGATGCCAAATTTTCTTTGATAAAATTTATATTTTCGAGGCAAGTTATGAATATTTTTCCTCGAAATGTTCAGGAATTGTAGGCGAAATAGCGAATGAAATTAACTGAAAAATTTGAAGAAAAATACTCAAAAGTTCATCGGAAAATTCGTGTTTTATCGAAGAAAATTGGGCAAGGCCTGAATGAATGGCCCGAATGGGAGAGTGCAGATTTATATGGAAATTACCTGATTTTTTGCATTCTTTCTCGACGGTTTTGGTGGGCTCGCAAGTGGGCTGATCTCCCTTCTTCAAGGTCAACGTCCTCGTCTTAACGTTGGTCTTGGGGTCGCACTCCGACCAGGATCCCTTCTCGTAACGACATGACTCTACTGAAAAACAAAAATCATCATTAGGTCAATCATTGACATCAAATTTCCCACACATATATGTTAGTGGGGCCGATAAGTGGAAAATATCATAACAATCGTGCACTTCTGGAAGAAAGCATGAAAATTTCAGGGATTCATCTCTACCCTATAGACATTCGATTTAGACATAGACCCCAAAAATCTGAGCCCCCTGGGGGGACAGGAGGCCCCCCAAATTTTGAATTTTGAATAACTACTGAACGGCTGATGTTAGCGTAATTTTTCTTCAACAGGACGATGGGAAATTTTATTAGGAACAAAAATGATTCCTATGAATTTTTCCGTGGGATCGATATTTAACACGTGAAACGGGAAAAACCATCGGGGGGCGGGGAGCCGGCCGTTCTGAGGCAGATCCGCGCGCTGCGCTGCCTGCCCGGGACGCGCGCCGCGGCGCAGTACGGTGTTACCAGCGAAACAGCCGCTTGTCTTGGTTTAATCTCAACGATGCGTAGTTTTAAAAATAATTATGAATTTACCGTACTGCCAAAATACTATTCCTTAGTAATATAAGCCCTATTTTTTATTAGTAATACATGAAAACAAGCAAAAGGCGAAATACTCCAATAAGAGAGCGCCGAGTCAATGGGAGGGGTCGGTTATCGCGCATCACGCGTCTTGTTTTTTCTGAATACAGAGCTTTTCCGACTTCAGTGCAGAGTAAATTGCCCTTTCCTCACGTAAGTTTTGTAAAGGATTACATTTTTTCAGATATTAGAGCGACATAGCAAGTTTTAATACGATTTAGACCCACTTTTTTATGATTAGGTATTGGAAATGGCGGATCTTTGATAACTTATTTTTAGCTTATTTTTCATGTTACTTCGGCGAATGGGACCATGAGCTGCTTACATAAGCAAGAATTTTGCAAAACTTGACGCACAGACATTACTTAAGGATTGAGGAGGGGGGGGGGTGCTTTACAGCCCCTTCGCCACTAAGGTTACCAGATTTCCCTAATTTTCCTCTAATATCGTTTTTAGTCCATGATAATTGATTTCTCGCAATTGCATAAGTACTGATACATACGGAACATTCTGACAATGTTCTTTTCTCCTCTTGTCCTCCAGCCAGTCAATAGAATTTTTTATTTTCATGAACTCCCCACTCTTTCAGTCATTTAAGAAATATGCATATTTCAAAAAATAGGACAATATATTAAATGAATAAAAAAAAGAAGATATCTGAATACTATATCGCTTCTTTTTATCGAGTCACCCTTGAAGATATTAATGGTACTTACCACGAGACATAAAAATGGAATGAGTAGTACAAAAAATCCATGTATATTATCTTTCATTCTTTTCTTTGGAGTTTGGAGTGGAGTTGGTAACATTTTTATTGAAAAAAATATTAATATATATAGGAGGAAATTTATTTATCATGTAGGTTCTGATCCTTTAAAGAACCTCTGAGACGGACCAGTCCTTCAGGAAGAAATCCATTACATTTCTTCTTTTTCAACCTGCAAATCTCGAACCGATTTTTGATTTGTATGGAGCTCATGAAAGAGTTCTAGGTAAGTAAGTCGGAGACAATTGCCAAGAAACGGGACTTGCAAAATATGCAATGTACAAAACGTACAGCGTACACCTTAAACTTTATCGTATACAGTATAACACTGATCGAATTAGCTTTAGAGATTATTAGAAGGTTAATTTCTGGTCAAAATATCAACAAATCAGTCAAAATCAGTAATCAGCAATCTGTTGCAAAATTACTGAGATTGCGAGATATCGTATGATGCGCGATTTAATTGATGACATAAGAGCAGGATAGGTTCCCAGGAGGCGCGACTTCCTATCACTCAAATGGACCGTTTTTACAGATTAGCGGATATTGCCGGCTAATTATTACTTAATAATATTCTTTGCACTGTACATGAAGCAGTCCAACAAAGGTTTTTTGGGGGTCTTTTATCCGTATCAAGCTTTCTCAAGAATCTTTTGGCGTTTTTTTGGAGCAACTTTTGAAGGTGGTTTTGGTCCTCTTAAAAAAATGCCTAAACGTAGCAATGATGTACTAAAACGTTCCTTAAAGAGAGGAGAATAAGCATGTTTTTATGTACACTCGTTTTTTTACGAAATTAGGTTCCTTTTCTTCCAAATCTGGCTGGAAGCAGTCTCCCGGGAACTTTAGGGTATGTAAGCATATTTAGATACCATTCTGGTGGCGCTGCACCGAGAAAAAGAAAAAAAAACCACTTTAGAATCATTTTCCAGGTCATCGTGGTATACAAATAAGATTTGTGATTTTTAGCCCCCCCCCCCTTCGCGAGACAACTGTGCCTAAGATTTTATTCCGTTCAACTGATGTCTGATACAGTTATCTCGGATGCTTTAATAAAACTTGACAAACCCATACAACAAAACGGTCCGGAACTCCAGCACTTAACCGCTTCTCCTTCTGTTGCCGTGCGCTCGCTTGTATACCTATATTACCTGCAAAAGTTAAGCCCTATTTTAAGGCTTTATAGGTAGTAAAATATATTCATAATATTTCTAAAACTACGCATCGTTGAGATTAAACCAAGACAAGCGGCTGTTTCGCTGGTAACACCGTATTGCGCCGCGGCGCGCGTCCCGGGCAGGCAGCGCAGCGTGCGGATCTGCCTCAGAACGGCCGGCTCCCCGCCCCCCGATGGTTTTTCCCGTTTCACGCGTGAAATATCGATCCCACGGAAAAATTTATAAGAATCATTTTTGTTCCTAATAAAATTTCCCATCGTCCTGGTGAAGAAAAATTACGCTAACATCAGCCGTTCAGTAGTTATTCAAAATTCAAAATTTGGGGGGCCCCCTGCCCCCCCCAGGGGGCTCAGATTTTTGGGGTCTATGTCTAATTCGAATGTCTATAGGGTAGAGATGAATCCCTGAAATTTTCATGCTTTCTTCCAGAAGTGCACGATTGTTACGCTTATCGGCCCCACTATGTAAGATTGCAAGCAACACCTCAAATTCATTGCATTTTGCATCCGTTGTTTTCACTGCATTTAAATTAACGTAACTTAGTCTTACATGCGTTTTGCGCTTACAGGGCAGTATACAGGTAATAAAAAAATCGTGGGCTCACAACTGCAAGTCTATCACCTGATAATATCTCCGAACTAAATAAACTCTCGGAGCGCGGAAAACTCATGAGCCGTGATGTCGCTTGGAGCGCGAACTATGCAAGTCTCGCGAGGTTTCGAGGGTTGCGTCGTTACGCAGCCGCGGCGCGGCGCGAGGGGATTTTCTCGGGCCGCCGTTTAGGAACTAATCGAGGAAGAGTTGAAATTTAAAAGCTCGGCGGTTACGGCTGTGGTGGCGGTGAGAATTTATCGAGCCGTAATTCGATGCGCCCAAGATGAATGGCCCGCGCCACGTCCAGCCGTAATTACAGCATCCATTCGGCCCCCCTTCATTCCAGCCGCGATACCACACCCCCCCCCCTTCCAGCGCAGCTTCACTCGCCGTTCATCCTCGAGCTGGTCCTTCAAGATTTTTCTTAGATGTGACCATTCGCAAAAAGGAACCTCCGAGATCATTTTTTCTCTCTCGCTATCCTTGCTAGAGGAGGAAGAATTATCGTAAAAAAAGAGAGAAAAACAGTTAAAATTTCACTGTTTCCAGGCGTTAAAGGTTCCTGGAGTCAACAAACCTTTCTTGAAAAAACTTGTGTCTGTCTGTCCGTCCACAGGGTTGCCACAGTCAGGGAAACCCGAGAAAACCGGGAAATGTTAGGGAATTTTAAAATGTCAAAGAAAACCGGGAATTGTCAGGGTAAATGACGAAAATGTCATGGAAAATTTGTTAAATCACCTTCATTTATTTTCTAGAGTGGGTTTGAGATTTTGAACAAGAAATTTTGCCTGAAAACTATTTTTAATTGTGCCTTCTTAACTATCCGTCACATCCTCAATTGTCAGGGAATTTCACCAAAATGTGTCAGGGAAATCAGGGAAATGTCAGGGAATTTCATTTCCTAAATTTTGTGGCAACCCTGCGTCCAGCGTCCCTGATCTCTATGTACAACCTTATCTCAAAATCTATCTCGACTGTGTAAGTCTGCAACCACGTATCTCGGTTTGCGACGTGGCAGACTTCCTGTCATACTTTATTTTTTACATGGAAAACTACTCAACGGAAATTCTTGAAAACTTCCGTGATTTTTTTTCTCTGTGCGAGGTAAATTCTTTGAAAATTTCAACCAATGATGTTGACTTGTTCTTCTTTTAAAAAATAATATAGGAGCGGAGATTTTCGAACACCGCAAACGAAACTCCTCGTTGCAAACTTACACCGTCGATTTGTTCAATTTCTTTCAAAATTGGCATGAGGCCGTAGCTAAATTGCGTAACGCACCTTTTCGGCAGTTTCGGGCGTTTTTAGTCGATCTTCTGAGAGTTTCCGGTGGTCAAAAAAACTCCGGAAAAATTCCTGTGACATCAGAGTACTTAGTTCTTTCGATACAAACGGGTAAAAAAAAATTGTGCAACAAGCCCATTAGACTCATTCTACAATATGGAACTATACAGCCTCCGACTCATCCATGAGATCACCTATCTGTATAAGGAAACTAATGGCACATACGCTGTTTCTAGAATGAACCTGAAATAGCAGTTCCTTTTTGCTTTCTCCTCCTACCATGAGAATTTCAGCGTGACACCGGATTCAAAGCCGCGACGCGAGGACTAAACCTTTATCCCATTAGACTTAATAATTTTGCAATAAGGAACCACTGCTTCCGACTCATCCATAAAATCACCTATCTGCATAAGAAAACTAAAGGCACATACGTTGTTTCTAGCATGAAGCTGAAATAGCAGTTCCTTATCGCTTTCTCCTACTACCGTGAGAATTTCAGCGTGGCACCGGATTCAAGCCACGACGTGACGGGAGGACTAAACCCCCACTTCCGTCGTCGCTTGAGCCCCCCGTTCAATTGGAGGAGGGTTCGAATACCGACGCGATGGTGCGGTG